AGATTTAGACTTCATAATTACATGAGTAAAATTTTATCTACGTTCAAATAAACGAAAATTAAAAAATAAGAATAAAAACCGTGGAACAAACTCGCTCAGCGTCCTTCTCTCCCGCAGAACCTGGCGGACAGGTGCGCGGGGCGTGGCCTGCGAAAGATGTCACTCGAGTGGGCGTGGCTACAGGCTGACGGTACAGCTTTCCTTTGTCTTGGCTCCTCCTCCTCGAGCATGCGTTCAGAACCCCCATTACAAGTTTCAAAATCGCTTTTTTCCCATGTCCACCTGAGTAATCACAGTTAGGCTATTTAATATTCATTAGTATCTGAGAGCCACAGGAATGTGAATGAAAGAAATTTAGAAACATGTACTGTAGGTGAGCTGTGGGGTCTAAGGAGCTTTGCATGACACTTACTGTTCTATAACGTTATTTATCTCACCACACACTCGGTTTACTACCTTTGTACTTTTTATTAGTCGTGCCATGCAGCTGATTTAAGAAGTTAATTTAAGAAGTTACAAGAACATGAGAAAGTTCAAATGAGAGGACAGTATTCAATCCATGCAGCCCTTTTGGCTACTGCTATCAGTTTGATTCGATCACCTCATGAGACATGATTAGGCTGTTGGTTTCAACAAAATGGCTGGATCACCTATGCCATTCTCCCACAACTCTTGGTGTAAAGGAACTTTTGACTACACTTCCCCATGACATCCTTTCACGTTTCCCTTGGTCCATGTCAATGTAGTTCACAGCGTATAATCACACTGCAACTACATTTTTATAACTGGTTAACTGCAGTAACGAGTTAACTCATTAGCGTATTTTCAACATTAGTGCACTGTACTGAAGTACATATTATATTCAAATAAATTCCAATTTCTCAGTCTCAGTGCATATAAACCCTAAGCTTTATATATGGATAAAAGATGAGGAAAGCTGGAGTTCACAAGAGAGGAGGTGGAAGAATAGTTATAAGAACCCAGAGCGACCCCAGACAACACGGTTACACTCGTTAAACCAGACAAACCCTCCCTTCCTTTTGAAGAGTCTGAACCTACCTGGCAGGAGATGAACAATTTCCCACAGAGGTCAATAGCAGGATCAGCACCTCAGCCAATGGTGTCCTGTAAAAGTATCACGAATACTGCGAGAGGCTCAGGCAGAGACTCTGGCAGCTGTTGAAAGCAGCAGGGAGGAAGAACTAGCTCAAAGAAAGCTGGCTGATTGCACAGAG